TGTCCGGAAGAATGGCCGCTCAGAAGACGCTGGCTGCATGACTGGCTCCCTCCCCTCCCAGCCACCCAGCCAATGGCAGCCCAGGTTTGCTGAGGGAGCCAGTCATCGCAGGCAGCATCTTCTGAGTGGCAATTTTTCCGGCCATACACTAACGGGGCATATTTTAGAACTTTGGCACCCACTACTCTTTTATTATAAGGGAGAGATAAGTCATAAAACTGGATTGTGCAATTAGTGTGCAAAAGGGACTGAACTGTATGGTGACCACAAGCTGATGCCAACTGCCTGGACTATGAACATGCACCAAGATGAGGGAAGCCTCTTCCTGAGATGATGTGCCAGACCAAGGATGGATCCATGGGTTACCTGCCAACTCACCTGCAATGCAGCAGAGATGACCTAAGCACCCTGGCCACACACAGTGCACAGATGCCAGTAAAAGTATGTTGTAGAAGAACTGTCATGCCATGACCTGAGTACCTGGACATGGACTCCATGAGCAAACCTCTCCTTCAGCTTCTTCCCCCGCACCTTGTTGTTCCCCATTGTAGTGTCCATGACTTATCATCAGTAGGAATAAATTAATGATGAAGGGAAATCCTATTGTTTTACATCCAAATCAAACGATGGGTGGAAATGTAACCATTACTGCACTCACCAGTAGACAACCTTAAATAGCTCATTCACCTTATTTGCTAATAAAAAGTTTACAAGAGCTAGATTTGAGTATTTGATTTAATTTCCTGAAACAAAATTTGGGGGGTTAAGATTTCAAGAGTCAAAGCTCCCTTTGTCTGATACCAGATAAGCGTTGATTCTCGAAAGTTCATACCCCCAAAATCTTGTTGGTCTCTTAAGGTGCTACTGGGTGCGAATCTAACTCTTCTAGTGCAGACCAAAATGGCTGCCCTCTGAAGGTAAGCTACCTGTATTAGTAACACCCATGAAAACATGAACAAGTCATATTTATTACATATTCCCCCCTAAACTTGACACAATCACACTCAATAGTATGATATGACTGTTCCTTATCTCCTCCATAACAAGTTCACAACTAAAATACTGATAGTAAAAAGGTAAAGGTTCCCTTGCTCATCTCCATTTCAAAGCCGAAGAGCCAGTGCTGTCCGTAGACGTTTCCGTGGTCATGTGGCCGGCATGACTAAACACCAAGGTGCACGGAACGCTGTTACCTTCCCACCGAAGTGGTACCTATTTATCTACTTGCAATTTCTTGCTTTCGAACTGCTAGGTTGGCAGGAGCTGGAACTAGAGACAGGAGCTCACCCTGTCATGCGGCACCCGGGTCTCGAACTGCTGAACTACTGACCTTCCACAGCCTGCAGTTCAGCGTCTTAACCACTTGAGCCACTGCAGTAGCAATATTTATTTTTACAGTCCAAAAAAACTGACAAAAAGGTCAGTTTTTCCTACCTCAGCTGTACAGTGCTTAAGCCCTTCTCCCAAAATAGCAGGACAATTTCTGTATACCATACAAAAGACCATGTTTCTACAAATTTATTTATGTTTTAAACTTATGACAATATTTACATACGGTACATAAAAAGACCCTGGCGATCTTTGGGTTCAGCAAAAGGCTTCAGGAAAGCTAAACCTATAAAGCTGTGACATCTTTAATTAAAAAAATATATATATTTATTGTTTGTTTAGTCTGTTACATCAAATATTTGTAGCTATATACAGTTTCACCCCTCTCCTCCCTCCCTCCCTCCCTCCCTCCCTTTTAATCTTAGTCTTTTCACCCCAGCCATGGGCACAAAGAATCTTCCACTGAATGTCTTTTCTTCTTTCTTTCAGTATCCAATCTAGGTAGGTCTTCCATCTGGTCTTTATTTCCATGGATTTTTCTTCCCATGTTGTTCCCTTGTTGATTGACGCCACGATATCTGACTGTATAAAGTCAAACAAATAGTTGTGCCGGATTTCTATTGTCCATTTACTTTGCTGTGACATCTTTTCCACATGCCCTAATGACATGTTAAGACAGAAAGACAAGAGCAAAGATTTCATTCCCTGTATAACAGCATGGTGAGAAGACAGCTCCCATCATTCAGAGGGTGGTGGAGAAAGGTGCACATGTGTGTGGAGCATAATATATGGAGTCCACTTGTGCCAACCAAGATCTCTGAATGAGGTTCAGCTACCCAGATGCTGGATATTTGAGCCTTGCTCCTCGAGAAGATCTCACACAAGGTCTAGTCTGGAACGATGAGTTACATGAAGATTACCATGACTGAATCTGGTTTGCAACATTCAACAATTGATCATACAGGAAAATTATATATTATCAAAATTATAAATTAAGTTGACTTCTTCAGAGTAAAGACAGTAGGTGGCATTCCATCTGACTGTTGTTGAAAACACCTCTTCTTCATGTCCGGCGTTTTGATTTCTTCCCTGCTAAAGAAAAGAACAGAAATCAAATCACAATCACATATAGGCCCCCGGGGGGGGGGGGGGGGGGAATGCGCAGCCTAAGTGTGGCTTTTGGAAGCTGCACCAAAATACACATGCAGCGGCGGGATCACACGGATCCCCTGAGCTGCGGTGCTGTTGCTCCCTGGCATGATCAGATGCTGGGGAGGAAGCCACGGTCCAGACCGAGGCAGCCAGTTGTGCATACGTGCGCATGTGCAGTTCGGCCAGGAGCCGAGGATGAGCCGGCAGAAGGACGCGCCGGCAATCCCACGGCCGCCCTTGCCACGGCCTTTCAGGTAAGACCACCTCCATTGGTGGTTCTTTTATGCAGCGGGTTTTCGGGGCTAGGGACGGATCGGGGACGGGTGCGCGCTGCTTCCCAGATGTTGCGGTGAGATCACACCCGTTTGCTGTGCCCCCGATCCGTCCCTCTCCCGGGCCAAACCCCTCCGTGTGACCGGGACCATATTTGATCACTCTATTCACTGTAGTAGCAATAGCTGTGTGGGCAAGGTGGGGTTCCCCTCTTTCTGAAAAAAGCCAGATCTTATCCACTGTTTGGCCATGGAAAGAAAGTGCAGTGAAATAAGTTTACCATTGGAAAAGTCATTAAACTTTGCTTCCAGTAGATTTGATTTTCTGCATAAATGAGTTTGCACAATTTTGTATTTCTGGTGGACAACTAGTTTGACTGTGGTTGTTTTGAAGGGGTGGTAGGTAGCTATTCCCCTCATTCTGCTTCACCTTTCCCACCCCAGTCTGTCTCTTCACAACATTCACTGTCTTCTTCCTAAAGCCACCTTCAGCAGGTCTGGAGAGGCAGTGTATCAGTTTTCTAAATAAATAAATAGAGAGGCCATGGGGCTAGGAGGGGAAATGGTGTCCTTTACACTGCTTCAAAGGACAACAGGATGTTTTTCTGACTTCACTAGGGTAGCTAGCTGGATGGCACCCACCAACAACATTCTCAATTTGGTCTGCATGAAGCTGCTCAAGTCTGCTTCCACGTGTGTGGATTGCCCATGTTGCGTTCATCACTGTCACTGTTCCTTGCCAACAGGAGCTTCCATATGTGGGAGTTTTATATGCACACTGGGGTATGTTTTCCCCAACTTTCCCTCCCACATGTGCTGCACAGTGACTGTACTGGTTCTCAAGAGCACGGTCATTCTGGCTGTCTGGCTGTTTTGTTCTTTTATTCATGCATGCGCTACAGCACTATAATGGCTGTATTAAGATTTGTAATAGATACATGGTGGTGGATTGCTACAGCTACAGTTACCAGTTACCAGGTTTTGTTCAAAATGCCCTTTGGTGGCATGGCAGGAAACAAATGCTGGGGGAATGGTGCCTGTGAGGGGCTGACGGTGGGGAAATGGTGGTGATCTAGGCAAGGAAATGCATACCATTCCTTTCAGATAATGTGCTAACACGCTAGGACTGCCTTCTTTCCAAAAAGATCAGTGTAAAGCACGCTTGAGAAAGAGCATACTAAAGATGGGGAAAGCTGAGAAAAGGATGATTACATCATGGGCAAGCTCCCCCCCCCCCAAAAAAAAAGCTGCAGTGTGGAAACTGCAAGATCATCCCTAGAGTCCTTCTACACTGGTGATCTATTGTTCGCTACTGGGATAATCTTTCAGTCCTCCACCTCCCCTTACAGAATGGGTGGAGTGGTGGTGGATAGCCAGTTTGATGTAGTGGTTAAGTGTGTGGACTCTAATCTGGGAGAACCAGGTTTGATTCCCCACTCTTCCACTTGCACCTGCTGGATGACCTTGGGCAAGCCATAGCTCTGTCAGGGCTGTTCTTGAAAGAGCAGTTTCTGTCAAGAGTTCTCTCAGCCCCACCTACCTCACAGGGTGTTTGTTGTGGGGAGGGGAATGGAAAGGAGTTTGTAAGACGCTCTGAGACTCTGAATGAAGGGCAGGGTATAAATCCAGTCTCGTCTTCTACCACCAAAAGATGACCCATGATCTTTTTACTTAACACATTCTGTGGAATCAACAGATTAACAGGTCCCTGTGCCATGGACAATCCAGTTTTATGCATTTTTACAAGGAAGTTAGTCTCCATGGGTTGGATACAGAATAAATTTTCTGCTCACGCAAGGTACTTTTGTCAGTGTAACAGAATGTTCCTGCTTTACCCCATGCTACAGCCCATTATTCTCCCGGAAATGCTTCTCCTGTGGCACAGGGTACCTTCAGGAACAGCATGAGTGTCTAATTGTGGTGTGGGGTGCTGCAGCAGGAAGAGGGAATTGGTGGAAATTACCCCATCCCTTCCATTAGCAGAAAAGGTAGTCTGAATCCAACCCACTGAGTTCAACATGATAGCAGGATTTCCTCCCATTTGTGAAGCCTATTTAGTTTACAAAAATGTACTCCTCTCCAAGCACTTAGAGTTGAATCAATGCCCATAACAATACCCTGACCTTAATGGCGCAGGCTAGCCTGATCTTGTTGGAACTTGGAAGCTAAGCAGGGTGAGCCTGGGTTTAGTGCTTGGATGGGAGACCCCCACAGAAGTCAAGGGTTGCTATGCAGAGTCAGGCAACGGCAAATCCCCGCTGTTTGCCTCTTGCCTTGAAAACTCCATGAGGAGTTGCCATAAGTTAGCTGCAACTTGATTGCATTTTACATGCATACTAATTAGGCTTGCCAAGTCCCCCCGGGGGGCAAGGAAACCCCCGCCCCAGAGGCCCGTTCCCTGCCGTCAGCGGATTGGGCCCCGGGGGGAACCCCACCCCGATGTGCATGTCACCCGGAAGTGGCGTGACCACGCCGGGCACGCTGGGGGCGGGGTTCACGGTCATCCGAGGGAAAACTCTATAGGAGTCCCCCGCTGTGGCAAGAAAACCACTTGGCAACCCTAATGCTAATGCCTATAACTTGCTATCAAAGCCAAAGGAAAGCAGCATACCTTTCTTACAGATTTTGATACAATCTTTCATCCTTGCAAAATTGTTTTCGTTTCCTCCGCATCCAGTATAGATGAATTTTTCACAGGTTTTTGTTTTTCTGTTGTAGTAAAAGCGAGTTACTGAACCTGAACATGTCCCTTCATCTTTAGGGCTATAGCAAAATGAGGGTCCATCTTAAAATGTAAAAAAAAGATACCGGTAAGTTAATGAGCACGATCAGTGTTGCTCAGTAAACGATTATCATAGTGAAGAGTTCAAAACCAATAAAAGCCTGACTCCAAACATAAGTTACTTTGATATATTTAGATATTCTCCATGCTGAACCCCCCTCCCCTGGGTATTTTCCCAATTTCTGTATGTCAAAAGCAAAAGCAAAGGGTAGCAATTTTGACTTTTAGAGGAGATTCCGTGCTGTAACTGCTATTTTGAATTATAGACCTGTCTAAATTTTATCCAGAGTTATGACCTTTCCATGAAGCTTGTAACTAAGATGGTCAAACAACTGCAGAATTCAATGAATTAAATCTTTTTTTTCCTTTTCACCAATTATGGGACTATCCCTATGGCCTTTCTAAGTGCATTTATTGGCTTTCTTCCACAAACAAATTCAAGGATGTCTCAAAGGGTGGATGTCCTAGAGGGTGAAGTGAATGTACAAAATATCCCCCACAACCTATTCGAATGCTAGCATATCCATATAGAAGCACTGATGATTCACTGATAGACTGGGGGAGATATCATAAGTTAGGGTACTTCCTGAAGAGACAGAGATTCAACAATTAGCATGTGCTGATTGCTAGAAAAAAATCTTCATCTCTCTCTTTCTTTCCTAGTGCATCCAAAACTTATTAAAGAAGGGAGTAAAAGATACCCATTTTCTAAAGTCATAAATATTTTCAGACATCTAACAGTAGAAACTTAGGCATGCTGTTTGCTTGACAGTAAAAGCCAATATTCTAGCACAGACATGGGAGAAAATATCTTCAGGTTTGAACTTAGGAAGGGCACTTAAAATGGAGCCAGAAACATAGAATCATAGAGTCATCTAGTCCAACCTCCTGCACAATTCAGGAAATTCACAAATCTCCCCTGCACCCCCAGTGACCCATGCTCCATGCCCAGAAGAGGGCAACCCCCCCCAAACTCTCCATGATCCCAGGCCAAACTGGCCTGGAGAAAAATTGCTTCCTGACCCCAAAGAGGCAATCAGCATTTCCCTGAGTGTGTAAGCAAGGGCCACGAGAACTAAGCACTAATGTAACTCTTCCTGCCCTCCCTCTCATGATCTGCCTAAGCATTGCTGTCAGATGGCCATCTAGCCTCTATATGTAAACCTCCAAAGAAGGAGACCCCACCACCTCCCGAGGAACCCTGTTCCAGTGAGGAACTACTCTGTCAGGAATGTTTAGCTGAAAACTCTTCTGATTTAATTTCAACCTGTTGGTTCTCGTCCGACCTTCTGAGGCAACAGAAAACAACTCTGCATGATCCTGTATATGACAGCCCTTCAAGTACTTGAAGGTGCTTATCATACCACCTCTCAGTCATCTCCACTCCAGACTAAGCATACCAAGCTCCTTCTACATTTCCTCATAGGATGGTCTCCAGCCCCCTCACCATCTTTGTTTCCCTCCTCTAGATATGTTCCGGCTTGTCTGTATCTTTCTTAAATTGTGGTGCCCCAAACTGAACACAATACTCTAGGTGAGGTCTAACCAGAGGAGAGTAAAGCGATACTATCACTTTGCGTGATCTGGACACTGTACTTCTGTTGATACAGCCCAAAATCACATTTGCCTTTTTAGCTACCACATCATACTACTGACTCTTGTTCAGTGTATGGTCTACTAAGGCCCCGGTCACACGGGAAGTTTTGCCCTGCAAGAGGGATGGCTCGGGGGCACAGCAAATGGGCACGATCACAACGCAACATCTGGGAAGCAGCATGCACCCGTTCCTGATCCGTCTCTTCAGCCCGAAAACACGCATTAAAAAAAACCTAGGAAAGAGTACTACCAACCTGAAACGCCGCAGCAAGCACGGCCATGGGATCGCCAGCGTGCCCGTCTTTAGCAGCATTCGAGGCTCCTGGCCGAACTGCGCATACACACACATGCGCAGCCGGCTGCCTCACTCTCCCTTCCATGGCTCCCCCCCCCCCGGCATATGATCGTGCCGGGGAGCAACTGCGCAGCGGCTCAGGGGATCTGTCTGCCACGCGTCTCTTTTGGTGTGGCTCTAAAAAGCCACACTTTGGCTGCGCCAATTTCCCCCGTGTGACTGGGGCCCTCGACACCTATATCCTTTTCACACATACCTGCCAAGACTTTCTTACTGTGCCAGTCTGACTAGGCTACAAAACCTAAAAGGAGGTATGCAGATAGGAATAAGTCTGATCCTGAATGTCTGAAGTCACCAGCAGTAAGAAACATTTTCAGCTCTCACCCCAATGGTGTTCCCATAGGTAGCTCTTTTGTTAAAATGTTGAGACAAGCAAAGACTCCCATTCATTTCCGGCAGAAAAAAAAAGTAGGAATGATGTTACTATGGCATCAAGCCATGTCTCTGATGCTTGGTGGCTCACAGATCCTAAAGGCATCCTCATCCACCTTGCAAAGATTACTCAAAGATGCAGGAGAGAATCTTCTCTTCTCATACCAGTTTGGTGTAGTGGTTAAGTGTTAAGTGTGCGGACTCTAATCTGGGAGAACCGGGTTTGATTCCCCACTCCTCCACTTGCACCTGCTGATGTGACCTTGGGTCAGTCACAAGCTCTGGCACAGCTGTCCTTGAAAAAGAGCAGTTTGTGTCAGAGTTCTCTCAGCCCCACCCACCTCACAGGGTGTCTGTTGTGGGGAGGGGAAGGGAAAGGAGTTTATAAGCCGCTCTGAGACTTCAAGTGAAGGGCGGGGTATAAATCCAATCTCTTCTTCTTCTTCTTCATACCCAAGAAAAAACAAAAACTGCTACAAAATGTGTTTAGGGGGGATGAGGCAGGGCCTGTAGGTGAAAGATCACGTTCGTAAGGCAGACCAGGTAGACCAGGCTTTGATTTTCAGTTTCCACAGCAGTGGTCTCTAAGATGGAGGGGGTGAGAGGGGGAAAAAAAGCAAGGGACATGGGCAGGGGGGCTGATGCAGGCTAGAGTTTCCATTTATTCCCTACCAATCAAACTAGGCCCTTGCATCATTAAAAACAAATCCTTACTTGTCTGAGGAAGGCAGAAGTCCATACAGGAATCTTTACTGTCAAATCGGTTATCATTCCCAAGACATCCTCCGTAGTAAAATTTCTCACAGGCCATTGAACTGAGGTTGAAGAAGTATTTCGGTATTAAAGCTCTGCACATCCCTTCGTCAGATTCCAGTCGGCATATTTTGGGAACTTCTGAAATGAAAAGGATTGAACAGATCATCTCAGTTAAACTTACAAACCATGTTTTTGGATCTCCACATTCCCAGCGGAGTTTTTGTGTGGCTCAGTCCTTCTCCCACGGATGTTCAGACAGAGGCTCCATCGTATTTCCAAGCACAGAACATTTCACCACATGTTAAAATAGTGTAGCAGTCGGAGTGTCAGGGATGGCTGGCTCAGATCCTTGGCTCAACCATGGAAGCCTGCCGGGTGACCCTGGGCCTGTCACAAATCACTCATTCTGACCTACCCTCACAACGTTGTTGTGAGGATTAAGTGGACGAACAGGGAATGAGGTGAAAAGTTGCTTTGAGTCCCTGATCAGGGAGAAAAGTGGAATATAAAAGATAAGAATGATGTCAAAAGTTCATGGTGTCCAAAAAATGGGAGATTGTGTTATCTGCTTTCATAGTTAGCAGATACAGAGTCTCCAGGTTGGCATATGATATGTTTAAAACAGTTATTCTGGTAGTTTTCCTCACGACCATTTATGGTAACTGTCTCTATGGCTAAAAACCTCCCACTGTCTGAAGCATCTTCCTTCTGTTGTATTAAAAACTGCCATTTCCCCATTAACAGCATCTACTGTTTCCTTCTCTTTCCCGCCCCAAAAGCTTTCTTGCATTTCCCAAGATCCTGACCCATCAGGTCTGCTCTGCAGTATTCTTCCCCCCCTCCATCGACTTTGCCTGCGGCTGGATCTAAGCATTCGACAAGATGATGGAATCCTGAGAAGGCAGAAAATACAGCTTGGGGAATACGTTCCTACTTGAAAAGCAATTTTAACTATTTTTTAAAACTTAGTAAATGTAGAAACGCAGCATGCTTGTGTGTACAGTGCTGGAATCTGCCTCCTGATGCGCCACTATGCCACTTCTGACATTCTCTGTTACTCATTCTCTCCCATAAACTCACACAAAAGCCAGTTTGAAGTAGTGCAGTTCAGTCTGCCACCTCATTACTGTGCATGCATAGATGCAGGCCCTCCCAAGCAACGCATCTCGAGCACAGATCCAAAACAGGAACTTATTTCTGTCCTCTCATGAACTCTCCATGCACTTGACACACAGTTGGCCCACCCTAGTTTATGAGGTTCAAGGGACATTTCAGGAGGTCGCAAGACGTTGGTTTAGAAGCAGTGAAAGGAAACACTGCAGCAGAATCAAATTTCTGTAGGGCTTAAATTATATGACATGAACGACACCTTGAGTATGATCAGCATGCAATCATTAAACAAAGAAAGTTTTCAAAATCTAGATCTGCACCGATCAGAAACCAGCAGTGATGTTGAATTAAGCAATGGAAACGAGGCAATGGTCTGCAGTCTCAGAGATAGAAGAACATGTCGGCAATGGAAATGTCTCAGGACAAGAACCCACAATTCAGTTGGTGGGGTGACTTACTTCTGATCATCCAGCAAGTTTTCTCACAATCTTCCTCACTTAGAAAGTTATTGGCATTCCCCTCACAACCGCCGTAGGTAAACTTCTCACAAGTCTGCGTGTATCGGTCATAAAACCACCTTTCATGAATAGCCCGGCAGGGTCCTTTAAGAGGTGGCTGCAAGCAGATCTCGCTGTTGTCTGTGTGAAAAAGATTGAGAAGGTGCCTTAGTTATCCACCACTTGGACCAACAGAGCTTTGCGTGGGGGAGAAGGGAAATCATACAACCACTTCCATAACAGCATTCTTGGCAACAAAGCAGTTTGGGCACAAAAATGAAAAAGGGGGGGGGGGGGGGGAGTATCATCCCTGACCCCACACAAAAAGAGTCCAGTAAGTGAAAGTAAGCTATGTAAGTGAAACGTTCATGGATTAAAGAGGTTTGTGATTGACTTACACAACAGCTGTCAGCCTAAACTTTCTTTTGAAAACTGGGCCCTGCATATACCCAAATAAGTACAGTTACAATGAACAATCCTCCAGAATGCTATATTTTTGTTTTCGGGAAATACATCCCTATATTACATCCTCTACCATTGCCCTTTCTTACGTCAACTAGATCCCAAGCACGTGTCTTGTTGGGTTGCGGGGGGAGGGGGTAGAAAGCGCAGAAAGTTGTAAGGCGCATCGCACTCTTAGTCCACCGAGCAAAACGACGCGAGAAGAGCCCCTTAGAGCGACCCTCGAAGTCTCTCGCAAAGCGATTACCTTTCCTGGCCGCCTGGGGACAGACGTGCCCCAGAAGCAGCAAGAGCCAGCCTGCCAGCGACACGACCCGCGGGGTCCTAGAGGGCAGCCTCATAGCTAGCGAGGATGGTCCTTCCCGGAGTGCGCTGCAGATGGAGAGAGGGCGAGAGGGCGTTTAGCGGCCCCTGCCCCATCCAGCCCCCTTTATACGCGCCCAGACATCCCTGACCCCACACAAAAAGAGTCCAGTAAGTGAAAGTAAGCTATGTAAGTGAAACGTTCATGGATTAAAGAGGTTTGTGATTGACTTACACAACAGCTGTCAGCCTAAACTTTCTTTTGAAAACTGGGCCCTGCATATACCCAAATAAGTACAGTTACAATGAACAATCCTCCAGAATGCTATATTTTTGTTTTCGGGAAATACATCCCTATATTACATCCTCTACCATTGCCCTTTCTTACGTCAACTAGATCCCAAGCACGTGTCTTGTTGGGTTGCGGGGGGAGGGGGTAGAAAGCGCAGAAAGTTGTAAGGCGCATCGCACTCTTAGTCCACCGAGCAAAACGACGCGAGAAGAGCCCCTTAGAGCGACCCTCGAAGTCTCTCGCAAAGCGATTACCTTTCCTGGCCGCCTGGGGACAGACGTGCCCCAGAAGCAGCAAGAGCCAGCCTGCCAGCGACACGACCCGCGGGGTCCTAGAGGGCAGCTGCATACCGAGCGAGGATGGTCCTTCCCGGAGTGCGCGGCAGATGAAGAGAGGCCGAGAGGGCGTTTAGCGGCCCCTGTCCCATCCAGCCCCCTTTATACGCGCCCAGGCTCTCCTGCCCCCGCCTCCTTCCCTCCCGCGGGGTGTATGGAGGAGGAGGAGCGCTGATTCACACCACTTTCTGGAAGGCGATGCGAGTCCTTGGCGGCTGCCTGCTAGCGCCGCGCGTCATCGGCCTTTCCCCCAAAGTAATGCTCGGCTGGCTAGTAGTGTGGGGGAGGCCGAGAGGTGGGGAGAGGAGAAGGGGGGCCACCAGGGGCGACGAAACCGGGACATCCCCGTGTCTGTTAAATCAAGCCTGGGGCTTTTCTTCTTTTTCTCTTTTTTGCAGGACACCAAGTTGTACAAACTTTCCCCTTTGGGTCTACAGTTCCATCCAAGTCAGCAGAACTTTGGCGAAAACGATGAAGTCCGCTTAGAGAGTGTTGCCGAGAATATTGTGAACGCCTCCGATCCCATAGCTGGTCTTTTCTTCTCAAAAGCTCTGAGGGTGTCCACAGTAGGCACTGGTATGTGGAAGTAAGTCCCCTTGAACACCCTGGCGTATCTTGGAACACTCCAAAGATGAACATAGGCACCGGGAATCTCCCTCTCGGCGCCCGATTGTACCCATTCTGAATTCTCTGCTCCAACGGCTGCATTTAGTTCTTTCCATGCATTTGCTACGCAGTAGGCTAGCCTTCAGGGAGTTGGCCACCCAAGATGCCAGTTTGGGTAAGGATAGTGGGCTGTAATGGTTAGAATGCCAGACTAGGATCTGGGAGAGACAAGCCTGAAGCTCCACGCTGCCATGGAGGGTGACTTGGTACCCCTCAGGCTCTCTTAGCCCTACCTCACAGGGCTTTTGTGAGGCTAAAATGGAGGAGGGGAAAGCCATCCCCTGAGCTGCTTTGGGTTCCCATTGAGGATAAATGCAGGATATTTTTGTACTGAAATAAAGAAGGAAAAAATAAGTGTGCTACAATCCATTCCTAGGCATTCAGAATCTACTTCCACAGGTGCAATGTGTGAATCAGTGAGTAGGCTGTGCACTTATATGTACAGAGATGTATGCTAACCAAAAGGTGCATTTGCTTGGAAAATTTCTAGATACCCATGGGGGGGGGGGGTTTGAGAAAAGTGAACCTTGAAGGTGATCCCAAAAAACAAAACCAACATAAAATCAGCACAGTAATTAACTAAAAATAGAGATCACAAAAGACAGAGTATTGGACAGCTTGAGTTAGTATATGAAATTGGATTTACTTTTGAATAGGCATGTATAGGGTCAGGGTCCATGGATATTCTAGTTTTTACCACTGCAGTAGACTCCTGGTTAGAAGTTCTTGCACAGAAAATCTGTCCATTCTTATCCACAGGCTTGTTTCTGTGACAGCGTGTTTGCAGCTTTCAGTTACTCAATGTGCTTCAGTATTTTAGACTACAGGCACAGGGCCATTAAGAAGATGCTGTGGTGTCATTGACTGACCTGCTGCTCGCACTAAGACCACTGTGGACCTTGTCCAAGTTGCCTTGTGGTAGTTACAGAAATGAAAGTTTTCCTGAGGAATCTGTGGCTGACCATCATCAACTTAAAAGGTCAGAAATGTCATATTGCAAGGTAGTAAGAGCCTATCAATTTGTATTATCATGTCATGCATACCTGTGTCTGTATAAATAAAATAATTAATTATGAAAGAAATACCTCTTTTATCTAATATTGTTGTTTTATCTATTATTGGTCAATTCATGTACTGTTTGTACTATATCCCTCACATTTGGCAAGAATTCAGTAATAGTTTGGAAGAGTATTGCTTCATTCCTAAAAAGTGACTACCAATGAAGATCAGATTTCCTTTCTCAATAAATGTGTTTGGCCTCAAAGTGCCACCTGCAGTTTAAAACAGCACACTGGAGTAAATGTAGTGGATTTCCTGTGAAATCTACAGATCTTAGAGGCAGCCCTGCCTGAGGCACCTCAGTTTCCTCCTTTACACTGAAAGGGAATTCTTCCCTCTGACTGCCAGCTTCCTTGGAATTGGTTGTTTCACAGGCTTCCTGACATCAGCACAATGCTCCTTTCCCTGCTACTGGGGCAATGTGAGAAGACCACTGAAGGAGCTCTTCCATGTGCCAGCACAAAACCCATTTTCTGAATGTTAATGCTGGAATAGGAAGGAACAGCAATTCCACAAATATCACCTTTATATGACATACAGATAGGTCTGATTTTGAAAGCTTAGATGATAGCATTAACTGAGACCTCTTATTTATGTGTCTAAGTGATAAAGTAGAGGATTTTATTAACAGTAGTTCCATTAATAAACTAGTCCATTGCTTTGCATTCAGATTACCGTTAGCCTATTACACAAACCTACAAAGCAGAAATGTTAGGATGGGGGGAAATTAACTGTACTGATTTCGTCAGGATCTGCATAACTTCAGTTACTTCAGTCATTGACATTTTACTGTCCTACAGGTGAGTTAATCGGACGAGCGCACTGACTACATATGGTTGTATCTAATCTGTCTTCTGTCTGCACGCAGCTGGACTATCACCTACTTTCTCCCTGGAATGTAATAATCTCACTATACCTGAAAATAATTCATGGACTTTCCCAGTTGAGCAGGTCACTTTCAAGGGTAGAGGATCACATTGTATTGTAATGTTTATCGTATTATTACCACCTTCCTTTTATGTCATTGTAATCTACCATTGTCAGCACAGAAATTTTAGTTCTACAGATGGCTGCGCATGCCCAAACTGAGAGAGAGAGAAAAAGAACACCAACACACGCTCCTGCATGTGGACGGCGGAAAGCAATGTGGCTGCGCAACGATCCGGAGCAAGAAGGTGAGTGTGATCACGATTCTCCAGGTTAAAAAAAAAGTGCAGCAGGGCTGGAACAATTTAAACCGCTCCCAGAACGCCGTCTGACCGCACCCCCTGTGAGGTAGGTGGGGCTGAGAGAGCTCTTTTGAGGACTGCTCTTGAGAGAACAGCTCTGAGAGAACTTGTGACTGACCCAGTTGAGAGAACAGCTCTGAGAGAAATTGCAACTGACCCATGGTCACACCAGCAACTGCACATGGAGAAGTGGGGAATCAAACCCGGTTCTCCCAGATTAGAGTCCATGCTCCTAACCACTACACCAAATGGGCTTGAGATCTCCCGGGATTCCAACTGACCCTTAGGTGACAGAGATCAGCTCACCTGGAGGAAAAGAACACTTTGGAAGGTGGACTCTATGACACTGTGCCCCATCAAAGTCCCTCCCCTCCCCAAAACCATCCCCCCTCAGGCTCCGCCCACCAACGTTTCCAGGTATTTCCCAACCCGGAGTTGGCAACCCCAGGAACATGGGGAACCCAAGCAGGATTAAAAGGTAAAGGTAAAGGTTTCCCTTGCTCGAAAGCCAGTCGAGTCCGACTCTAGGGTTGCGGTGCTCATCTCCGTTTCAAAGCCGAAGAGCCAGCGCTGTCCGAAGACGTTTCCGTGGTCATGTGGCCGGCATGACTAAACACCAAGGCGCACGGAACGCTGTTACCTTCCCGCCGAAGTGGTACCTATTTATCTACTTGCAATTTCTTGCTTTCGAACTGCTAGGTTGGCAGGAGCTGGGGCCAGAGATGGGAGCTCACTCCGTCATGCGGCGCACTCGGGTCTCGAACTGCTGAACTATTGCCCTTCCACAGCCTGCAGTTTAGCGTCTTAACTACTTGAGCCACCGCAGGCAACCCGAAGTGAATATAATAAAATATAAATTGTCTGCCAATCAGCTCCAGGAAACTTCTTCAGGGGGAAGAGTTACACACACAGCCAGTTTGGTCAAGACATGCAACTGCATGCTCAAATTTGCTTCATCCTTTGACTTAGAAAATAGGAAGTGAACAATAAGGAAGCAACTGCTCAGTTTCTTTTTCTGGTAGACTTCCATGAAGCATCCAATATATTGGCTATCACTGGAAACAGGAGGCTGAGTTTAACAAAAGGTGACCCATATTGTAATTCTGCTATTTTTGGAGCTAGGTTATTGTTACTCTTCCAGGAAGACTTGAGCATACATAAGAGTGTTAGAAGTTGACTCCTGCTGGTTCAGACCCAAAGGCCATCTTGTCCAGCATCCTGTTTCCCACAATGGTTTCCAGATACCTTCAGGAAGCCCATAAAGTAGGACAAGAGTCATTCTTGCTGGTGCTCCTCCCAACAAGTGATGCTCAGGCTCTACAAGGTAAAACATCTGCTCTGCAGTGTCTGTACCCCCCTCAACTGATTTGTTTTGCTGTGCCAAGTATAAAGGGTGGTACAGGCATGAGGGGAAAGGATGACGGTAGAATAAGTGGTGTACAGACCTCAGTTATAAATCATGTTAACAGGGCAGGAGGTTAGAACTCTTGTACTCATAATGGCCAATTTAACAACCCCCAAGAGCCCAGTCTCAGGGCAATCAGAAGACAGATGGCAGGATATGACAAACTATGTCTGGAATGGAATTCCTAGCATTAATTTCCCCAGAGCAGATGATAACCTGAGTGAAAGGGAAGATGGGATGGGATTGCACTCATTCAGGCAAGGGAAGTCTCCAAAAATAACTTCTACAAGAGGATTCCCTGCCACCTGTCACCTTGATTATGCTAAACGTCTACTGCTCTTTGACAGTCTACTTTTGATTCTTACCTGCTCATTTTATCTTCATATCCTATTGCTGTGATCATTTGCCACTTATTTTTCTCCTTATTCTCTTACTCTTTCCTATCACGTGTTTATTTACCTAATTTACAGTCCGCCTTTCTCATTGAGATTCAAGGTAGATCATGCAATGAAAACAATGCAATAAGAACAGTATAACACACTCCACAAACGGTGATAAAGCTGCATAACAAAATGGTTGCAACAACTGTCTCCCTTTTAAGGCTCTCCAAGATCTTACTTCTCCTTATTTTGTTCCTCAGATTTCTCCTTCTGTGATCTTTTACTCTCTTAATTCAGAATCCATTTGACCTGCTGTCCCTTTATGTCTCTTTTCCACTTTCACACCTTCCTCGTTATGCAACTGATTGTTTTTTTATTTAGTCAACTTCAAGCTGGAGCTAAAACTGTTCTGCTTTGTTGATTAATTGTTGGCATTTCACAAAACAGGGATGCATAAACAAAACAGGGATGCATAAACAAAACAGGGATGTGTGAAACAAAATGGATAGCTCAGAATAACACTGGAGAATATCTACCTGGACTGGACAAGTCTGTGAGGTATGAGGACAAAACTAGCCAAGACCAGGTAACCCATCTTAAGTGATTTATTTGGGCCACTAGTAAGTTTAGCTAAAATCTATTAACAACTGTTATAGTTGTTAATAGATATTAATGTTGTTGTTAATAGATATTAATATATCACACCAATTTTCCCTAGAAAGTTCAGAGTAGCATCTGATGTTCTGCTCTCAAGTAACTGATCTGGAATCTAGTGCAATCCTAAATGGAATTACACTCTTCTGACCGCATTGAAGCCTTAGAAGGGTTTAACTTTGCACTGCAAGTCCATGTTCATTTAGCTAATCATAGTGGACATTTATTTATTCATTCATTTATTATTATGAAAATGTATGTGCTTCCTGTTTACTAAAAAGGCAAATGCAATTTTGGGCTACTGCATTGAAGCCTTAGAAGGGTTTAACTTTGCACTGCAAGTCCATGTTCATTTAGCTAATCATAGTGGACATTTATTTATTCATTCATTTATTATTATGAAAATGTATGTGCTTCCTGTTTACTAAAAAGGCAAATGCAATTTTGGGCTGTATCAACAGAAGTATAGTATCCAGATCACATGATGTCAGGGCCGGCTCACCCGCTAGGCGAACTAGGCGCTCGCCTAGGGCTCGCCGGCCCTCAGCGGCGCCAAACTGCACCCTGCCCCCCGCCAAAAGCCCCCCCCGCTGCCCTAACTGGGCGGTCGCCGCCGCCATGGTGGCTGGCGAGCGAGCAGAGGCGGGAAGCGCTGGGGGATTGCGCCCTCCGGCCCTGCGGCAGCTGAGCCCCCCCCCCCGGTGGGGGTGTCACGGCCCGCCTGCAGCTCCATGGCCCCAGCAGCCAGCCAGCTGGACTTCACTTCGGAGCGCCCGATGCCGACGCCACTAGGGTCTGCTCAGCAGCAGCAGCAGCAGCAGCCGGGGCTCTGGAGACGCTGCCGGCTTCGCTGCGACGGCTCCCCGCACATGGCGGCCGGTACGTGATCCCCGACCGACCAACCAACCACCTGGCCAGCCGGCCAGCCGTGCGCCGCCCGGGCAGCTCCTCCCCTCCCTCCCCCAGGAACCCCACTGCCGCCCACTCCTCCGAGCATGTGCAGAGTGCTGGCCACCAGGCCTCCCCCCTCTCCCTCCCCCTGTCCACAGGTGACACTTTGCACAGGCTCGTCATGGCTCGCACGCCCGGCTGGGTCGCGGGAGGCAGCGCCACAGCTCATCCGCCCTCCCCCCTGGGGAGAGGAGGAGGCAGCAGCAAAAGGGTCTCCAGGCTCCACTGGGAGGTTGGCATCTGCGCCTCGCCTAGGGGGCAGAAATACCTTGAGCTGGTCCTGCACGATGTGATGGTTATACCTCACCTAAAGTATTGTGTTCAGTTTGGGGCACCACAATTTAAGAAGGATCCTGACAAGCTGGAACATGTCTGGAGGAGAGCAACGAAGATGGTGAGGGGTCTGGAGACCAAGTCTTGTGAGGAAAGGTTGAATGAGCTGGGTATGTTTAGGCTGGAGAGATGACTGAGAGGTGATATGATAACCATCTTCAAGTACTTGAAGGGCTGTCATCTAGAGGATGATGTCGAGTTGTTTTCTGTTGCCCCAGAAGGTCAGACCAGAACCAACAGGTTGAAATTAAATCAGAAAAGTTTTTGGCTTAACATTAGGAAGAACGTACTGACATTTAGAG